AATTAGAAAATACCGCGGTTGGAGGCAATATATTAATGCGAATAAAGGAATTCTGAGTTAGGTGTCAAGTAAGAGTACGGGTGAACTCAAAGTCGTCTAGCTGATAACTTATGGTTAGCGGAGTATCCCAGGGTACCGTTTCGGGGACAGGTTGTTCTTCATGTATGGGAATGAACTTCACGGTCAACTAGTAACATCGATATTGTTATATGGAGAGCGATAAAAACTGGTGACAATCCAGAGTTTCGAAATGACCTGAAGAAATTATCTGAATGGTAGAAAAACTGGTAGTTGCTAATAAATGTTTCAAAGTGCACAATGATCCCTCTTACTCAACAAGGTCCGGATGCATGCACGGTGGATAAAACTGAGCTACCTATTGTCCAGACTCAAAGTGACTTAGGAGTAACCGTTAGCCAAAACTTAAAAATTAATTCACACTGCCATATGAAAGTCGACAGAGTTTATGGAACACCAGAGTCAGTATGTGGAGCTTTTAGCCATGTCAATGTCAAGACCTTTCAGACTTCATGTACAGTATTCGTTCGTCCTAAACTCGAGTGCTATATGCAGGCGGCTAGCACCTGCATAAAAAGAGACGATGAACAGTTGACAACGGTTTAAAGGACAACAGGTAAGCTGATTCTCGAAATAGCTGAGCTCCCGTATGATGCTCGGCAGGCAAAACTAAGCCTGTATCCATTGTCGTATAGAAGAACCACAGGTGATGTAATTACAGTTTTTAAGTAACTTGGTGATAATATTGCATCTGATGCTCTCATTTTTCTTCTATTCCAAAAACAGAATTTGCGAGAATCCTCTAGGAATGTTCGCAAGTCCAAAACAAATTACTTGTCAGCTGACTATCGAATCATCAATGAATGAAATTCATCACCTCAACACTCGACTGAAGCTTCATCTTTTGACACTTTTATATAAACGTTAAAACAGCTATGAGATCACCACTGCAAAAACTAACACAGAAAACCTAACCTCCTGTCCCTTGCAAAATCAAACTAATACGGTGATGATTTCCTTGATCTCTTGAACATTCATCCAAGTTTCGAGATAATCAGTATTCAAAAGATATGAACAAAGATGTTGGCCACTCATTAGTCAGCTGATCAATCAGACAGAGCCAAAGTTAAAACTTCCATATAGTCCTACTAGGGATACGAATCATTTAAAGTAAGCAGTAGCTCATGATAATACGGATCAAAGGTGTGATGGATACTCAGGACTTGACATTGCTATTATCTGCAAAAACTTATAAAATCGAAAAGTGTCAACCTAGTCATACTAGAGAGACCGAAGTTATATTTGGGAATTTATAGATATGCTGAACGTTTGATTTAGACTAGTTAGTTTTTGCGCGGGATGCGTAGAACGGCGCACTCAGTAGCAATCTAGGGTGACTGAGTGGCCAAGCGCATTCAGCTAGGGTGAGTCCAATATCAATGTGCAAAACTTAAAAAAATTATTTATTTATGGGAATTTATTTACCGCCACAATACTAGAATATAACACCAAGAAGTTTACAATTACCTGGTCTATACTGATATTACTCAGTAATGCAAATGTTTTCCATTTTTCTAGGAATATTCGTTTCATATATTCAAGTAAGTGGAATCACCTTTGTTATTGATGTTTTCCAGCATATCTCAGTTTGACATAGTTTGTGAATGGCTTTAATTTCAGAAGACTGGCCATCCCAACTATATTTGAAGAACTTATTACAGCAATCAATTTATCAGACACATACTATTCTTAATCATCAGTTTCCGTGCCTACTATCATTTAGGATTTATGACATTTCTACCAGCTCGTACAGAGTACCAACCCCAAACAGCAGATGTAGCCTACTAAGACCTAGTGGTCTATTACGAATTCGACGTACTTCCAACTGACTGGTCTCAATCACTGTTTGTGCCAATCTATAAGAAGGGAAAAAGGTCCTCTTCTGACAATCACAGAAGAATCAGTTTGACTAATATAGTGTCGAAAATATTAGCTCCAATAATACTTCGACGTGGTTGTATAGACCAGATATTCACACTACGTCAGGTCCCAGAACATAGACAAAGCTGCACGAGAATCTTGAAGAGAAAATATGGTAAACAGAGGCGACCAGTTATGAACAAAAGCTCAGTCGAACAGCACACAGGCGACTGTTAACGGAGATCCATTCTAATAGTGCTTGTTCTGCCCTCGCACTTAGTGCTATACTTGCATCCACTAGTCCACGAGAACTTGACTTCAGGTCGCCAGATAAACGGAGGGTGAATTTCGTCGGCTCTCCATTTTGGCGAGGTAAGGTTAGGTGAATGACAGGTCTCAGTCACTGATTGTGCCAGTTTTTAAGAAAGGACAGAAGGTCCTCTTCTGACAATCACAGAAGAATCAGTTTGACTAATATAGTGTCTAAAATATTAGCTTCAATAATACTTCGACGCCTAACCAAAGCTCGTGAAGAGCAGACTAGAGAAAACCAGGCTGGCTTTCGACCTCGACGTGGTTGTATAGACCAGATATTCACACTACGTCAGGTCCCAGAACATAGACACAAATTCAGACGCCCCACAATCGTAGTATTTCTCGACCTTAAGGTGGCATTTGACTCTGTTGATCGTGAGGTTCTATGGCATTGCTTGTCATTGGAAGGAGTACCGAAGAACTACATTAACCTTGTAAAGGTTGTCTACTCAAACTCAACTGGCCGAGTGAGAGTTGACTACCTCAAGTGGTGTTCGTCAGGGCTATTCACTCTCTTCATTCTTGCTTAACTTTGTCGTTGACGTGATTTTAGAGATAACACTTCCCTCATCCAAATTTTCAGGGGTTGAACTTCTACCAGGAGATTCACTTGTTGACTTGGAATATGCCGATGACATAGTTCTATTTGGTGAAGACGCTGACAAAATTCAGAGTCTTCTGACCACTCCAAGCAACAATGCAAGCATGTTCGGAATGGGATTCTCCCCCTCAAAATGCAAAATGTTGCTTCAGGATTGGGTTGCATCGACACCTGATCTAATGATAGGGAGTGAAGTAGTTGGGCGTGTCGACCGATTCACTTATCTTGGAAGTCTCATCAGCCCTCGTGGTCTGGTGTTTGACGAAATCTCAGCACGGATACAGAAGGTTCGACTAACTTTTGCCAACTTGCGTCATTTATGGCGTAGGCAAGATATCCGTCTATCAACCAAAGGATGGTTTGTTGCACAGCAGTTCGTTCCGTCCTATTTTATGGCAGTGAACCATGGCCGGTAAGAGTAGAGGATATTCGTAGGTTACTAGTATTTGTTCATAGGTGTCTTTGAAACATTGCTCGTATATCCTGGGTCTACCGAGTAAGTAATGTGGTTGTTAGGAAACGGGTACTAGGTAAGGATGGCAAACCAGTTGATGAGGTAGTGAGACTTCATCAGTTGAGATGGCTGAGACACGCGTTACGTTATTGACAAGTGGACTGAGTCATGTTGGTAAGTGTGGACTAGCTGGTTGGGATCCGCGAGATGATAACAACCGATGGTTGGAGACCTGAATGACATGGCTCAAAACCGTTTGCGATGGTGCAGCTGCATCCACTCTTTGTGTTCTCCCAAACTCTAATCTCCTTAATCCTCCTTGTCTCTTTCCAAATTGACTACATTGGATTATACTCTTTAAATGACATCTTCAAACCTTGGTCTTTTTGATTACTGCTTACACTCTTACCGCCTCTACCACTACGGGATTTGGATCGACAACTGCATCTCTGTGTTAATGTGGTGTAGCAACTCGAACTGATGTAAGCACGTACGAAGTTCTATGTTGTTGATGACTGACTTTTATGAACAGATTCTGTTTTGTTGAGTCTCACAAACCCATCGCAAGAATGTGATTTAATGGGGACTGCGGTTACACGGCTCTTTGAATGAGTAGTGATATCGCACCGAAAGAAGTAAAGAAATTTGCGGATTTACTGTATATGTTAGCCTACTTGCATACTTGTTAACACACTTGGTATGCAGGTTTACATAAACTGTGAGCAAATATACATTACATGCACACGAGTTTTCCCCCCATGCATCCTATAGCATACACATAGGCATATTTACCCACTTGTGAGGGTAGACGTTCACCACTCACGAAGAAAACGTATTTGGTACACCAGACTGTCTCTTACACATATGCATTCCATTTACACCATGGCTATCACTCCAGCATTTCCTTACACACATAAGCACAAGCACTCTTTCATGGGAGATTGTTGGTCGCCCCATTGCAGCATTTGCTACCACCTCTTATTATGTCTTCGACTTGGTAGATACGCTACTGATTTTGTTAGATACAGGGCAGATATTTCGCAGCTCAACGTTTCATTTTTACGAAACCAAACGTCAATACGCTTGGATTGCGTAAGTCCGATGACTTCTGCAATTCCCATACCTGAGCACACGCGACGGGTAGCAAGAGCGGTAAAGTGAGCCCCGAGTATACAACTCAGGATTGATCAGTTGCAACAGATTGGGTGACCAGTCCAATCCCTGCCACTGTCCAAGTTGGCTAGCAGGGTTACCCCCACTATCCAACAACGCCACGAGGCCTTATGTCGGATACGCTGCCAACCGATAAGTCAGTCGTTGGTTTAGAAACAAGCGCACGAGGGCGACAATATACGGGCAATGTTGTTGCAGAATCCCCTACACGAAGCTGGAAAATAAGCGCACTAGTTCCTATCTTCAGTGGACGGATTAGCTACACGATCACACATTAGCCAAAATGTCCTCCTCGAACAAATGTTAAGTTTTGTTTTCAAGTACTACCATATCTGTATAAAAATAACACAAATACTGGCAGTAATGAAGAGAGAGAATAAAAAAGCAGTACCACATCTGTTAATAAACTACCCGAGATGCCAGCCGAAAACCTGACCGACAGACAGGGAGGTTTTCAAAAGCAAACCGTACGAATTTCTCTTCTCTCTATATAGTACCGAAGTATCTTTAAGATAAAATGCAAAAGGAGAATAGTGGGTTTATTGATAGAATCTACTATATCACTTTCATAGAAATTAAGGTCAGTTGATACTCAACTCATTACTAAGAAACAGTGTGTACATAGCCAAACAATGAAAAAACTTTTGAAGTAGAAAAGGTTTAAATAAAATATATTTTTCTCAAGGAAAACGTTATTGTCGTAAGATATCGCATGAGGAACGTTATTTCTTTCTACACAAATCACTAGCGATATTCCGATAGGGAACTGGATGTCAGTCATAAGGACATGGTATTCAGAGCAGTAGTAGATGTAGGGCTGGAATGAACAGAATAATCCAAAGACTCTGAAGATGTGATAGCTTGTAGTTGATCTGAAGTTTCAGTTTGTGTGGACGAAACCTAATAATGAGGAACATAGGTTAGTAATGCGAATCGTTCGATTTGTTAAATGAAATGTTCAAATTAAAACACACCACACCACGAAAAATAGTATGACAACCTTAAGACCCTATTACAAAACACTCTGAAGGACAATTATTTTAAAATATATTTAATTATCGAGGATAAACAACGAAATCACCTTCGAAGTTTTAAAAATAAAAATAAATGAACGGAATTCGACTGAAGAAAATGATTTGATTTACACACAACTAAGGAATAAGTGAAATTCCATACTCTACAAGCATTTTTCATAATAATATGGGATTAAATGACCATTATAATGATAATGGAATGACAAACGTCACGAAATACTAAACGTGACAAAATATTACCTACTTAACTTTCTAAATGGAACCTCCCAAATCGTCTTCCTAATAGTTGTTAAAAATGATAGAGATATACGTTAAACTATTATGAATTAAATGACGCAGAATCGAGATAAGGCAAGTCAAAATACACAAATAAGTAAAGAAAATTGAAGAATCTATACAATTTGTGATTAAATGATTATAAATGAAGAAAGTACAATCTAAAACCGAACTTACATTTTTTACATCATTATCAGTAAAATTCCCAGATTTGGTTTCGGACAGTGCTGGATACACAAAACTCATTTGTAAGTCACGTCCATGAAACTGGGTAAACAGACGAATAGCTGCCTCGGCGAAATCACGAGTACAAAACGTAACTTCCAGTACTAACTGATTAGTTTCAGGGTTAGTTTGTTTTGTACAAGATTGTGTATGCAGGTAATTTAGCTTGAAGTATAATGAGAAATTTGGGAAAAGTCAAAACCGATCGGCATTTAAAATTTCAAAAGTGAAAATAAAGCTTTGATAGCACTACAGTTTTTGAATTTAGTCACCTGATTTTTTAAAACAGTCTACGTGTAAGATGTGCCACACTTTGAAACTAGGTGCCTGCGTTGGTGGAATCAATTGGAAAGTCGTTGGGAATTTCAAGAGTAACACACAATTTCCACATTTTTGAACATGTGCACAGGTATATGCGTAACTGTTTATACATAAATAGTAATAAAGCATTCTGGTTTATACTAGTTGTTATATATATTTATATACTCTAGCGAGAATACTAACGTGTTGAGAGGTAGATAGTGAAGAGCAAAAGAAGAAAGGCGCCACAAACTCACTTCTTGAATCATGAACTCGATAACTTCCAGCTTAAATAACTACTCACAGATCAACACCATGAGCTGTAAATGCGAACAAAGAAAAACTGATCTGACACAAATATTACACCAAGGCCATAAATGCGATGAAGGAATACTAGGTTCAGAGACTGCTGACTATTTATATTCGAACATAAATATATAGTTATTACATCTGTGTGAATAGAGATGTCATCCGAGAAGTGATACGCAAGCAAGTTACATTGATCTTACAGTACATGAATACGGAAAATTTCGACATCATAGTAGTTCTATTTAATATTTGTTTTATTCAACAGTAGCGTAAAACACATTCCAGACAGGTGATTATATTAGCATAGTAATAATAATATATGCTATTAAAGACTGTTTTTGGTATGAAAACAGATTTTTTAAGAGCAAAATACATACTGAGAGGGCATTTTGAAAGTTTTCTACATCATCTGGTTCGATGCCAGTAATATACAAAGTTCGAGGTCGCTTATCAAGTTTGGTTTGAGTTCTGTTTGGGTATGCGGAATTGTCGCCGGAAGCACAACCGCTTGTGTTTTGAGACAAAAACATATCTGATGGCCGGACTGTCTCCAAGTCGACAAGCTAATAAACAAAAAGCCATTTGAAAATACCAGATGAAAACAAAGAAATTAGTGTAACTATAGAATTACATTTAGCTAACAAAATTCAAACATCAATTCATATGGACAAACAACCATATTGTTTGGTATTCAAAAATAAACTGATTACAGTGTGCTAGCGATTATGGCAAGAACGTTCTTCAGCTTGTTAGTTGGGTACCGTAGGACCTGATCAATAATGTGATCAATAAAAAGAAATGTACTTTGTGTACTCATATTCAACGAAAATTTATATCAATAAATATGGTTGAATGAAGGAGTCAGGTTAACCTTCCGTGAATAAGATCGTATGATTTTGAAGTCCAGCTGCACAAGACGGGATGGAATCCACGAAGTCAGTGAACTTATTAGTATGTGCGGAATTATAGCCTACGATTAAGCTACGAATGTAATAATGTTTGCGTGACTGCACAGTGATCTATATACGGCTTTAAAAAACACTAAGAAACTATTTAAGGGACTCAGTCAAATGGTCTTCGGAAGTGATACAATGTTAAACTAGGTTCTATTTTGGGAATAGGTAAATCTGTTTATGGAAATACAAGTTAATAGTATATTCAAGTTTATCATTGGGTATCTGTAACTATTTTTATTACCAACTGGTTTCAAATGTGAGCTATAATCTACAACTGGTACAATTCATTATACAATGAAATTAACCTAAACGAAAACCGATATGTGTAAATCTAGAAACCAAGAAGAATACGAAGAAATACTAGTCTGTAAGTAAAGGGGAATCAATGAGTCCATAGATTTTACAGCTGAGGCAAAGAGACCCTACCTGGCGTTTAAGTTCTACGATCCTTCGACGACCTTCTTTTAATTTAACCTCATCTTGAGATGCATCACGTAGGTTTGCTTCCAATTTATCGATTTCGATTTGAATCTAATATGTAAAATATAAGCAGCGATGAATTAATATATGATAAATAATAACTAAAACACTAAGGAAATACTCAAATGTACATTGACGACTTTTTATGGTAATCGCAATTGTTAATTATTTGTTAAGTTGGCAAGAAAAGTAATTTATAAAAATGGACAGTTTACCATTATCATTGGAATTATTTAAAAAACAACTGCATGAACGAATTTAAATTATGTAAACATACTTCAGAAATTTGTTTTTGTCTTTCTAATCGAATTGGACTCGGTAAAGCTTGTAATGCGGCCGCACTAGTTGTTGTGCTTCCTAATGGTTTTGAAATGAACATTTTTTTGCTGTTTGATTCTCGGTTTAAACTTCGGATATCCAAATCTTTCTTCTCAGCTTCCAAAGTCGATTCAAGCTCAGTTTGTAGCCGTTTGGCTTCAGTAAGTAATTTCCGTCTTTCATCCAATGTCAGTGATTTCGAATCCGTACAATTGTCTGTTTCGCTAGTACGATTATTTTCCAACTGACTCATCACTTTTTCAAGAAGCAACTTCAGTTTAGTAATTCGTTGTTTTCGAGCCTCAATCACTGATTCTCGGGCTTCACGAGACTAGAGAAATAAAACATGGACATTTTAAAATGAAATTAAGTGATAAAAGGATATTTCCACAGTTGGAATCACGAGTCGATCTAAGCTAGACCACCGACAAAAACCTGGAAGTATTGGACAGTCATTTCGTCGTCCCACGATGGGATACATCAATAGTGAGCATCCACGATCCCACATGCGGGATATTTGACGAAATAAACACTACATTCAAGTAAATAGTTGACTTTTATCAAATAACCAGGTATATCACATATAAACAAATCACACTGAAATTGAATTATTAAAATGAAATATAATCAGATATAAATATATGATTAAATTCTATTTTAGCTTGACGTAAGAAAAGTACCTTATCTAAAAGCATAAGTTGTTCTTTACGTTGTCTCAATGCAGCCATTTTACGACGCTCCCAAAGAATTGCCTCAGCCTCTTGTTTATGCGACAAAGTATAAGGACTTGACGTAACAGTTATATTATTACTATTATTGAATTGTCTTGCTGTATCCTGAAAGAACACAAAACGAGGTCTCGATGAATAAAGTCCATTGCCTTTGAAAAGATACAACAAAAACTGAACAAACGATCTGATCATTATGTGTTTATGATTTGACACTAGTAAATACAAATTTCGAAACATCCTAATAAGCACAAAAAAAGTGTGTATTACATTATCGAGTAGCAAATACACAAAAAACTCATGAACGTTGTTGGGATATTCAGGAAAATATCCCAAAAATTATTCTATTGAGTCTAATGCTAATCTTGGACTTGAGATGGTATCATTTTCCTACTGGTCAATACTTATTTCGCGTGTCAAATGTTATTTTCTTTTTTATGGTGCGGTGTGTTCTGCTTGATTGGTATACAAACCGAGTATGTTTGAAATACATGATTCATATCTCAGAGGCTGAGACATGTGTTCTGGACTCAACTGGCTGGGCTAGACAGGGAAGCGGGGCCAATCAGAACTGTAGGCCGTTCTTGTGTGTTTTCGCGTCTTTGGTCCGATCGATAATACACTTCGCTCTAATCTGCAGCACACAGTTATAACAAACATTCATCCTACCGAATTGTTGTAATGACCCTTTTCAATGAGGTTTTAAAGGAAACAACTATAATCATTAGCACGTCAACATTGTTGTACTTATTACACAAGACATTTAAAAGTGGAACAAATGGGGAATCTCTACTTACTAATTAGTATACGAGTCACGGATAATAATTCGCAAGCGATAAACTCAAGCTTTTTTCAGGTGAATACTTACCGTAAAACTTAAACAAGATCTTAGTAGTTTGAATATTAAATAGAAGATTAACAATACACTACGCCATGAAGCACAGTTATGATAACAAAATCAAGGTAACAATCACAATACCAAATGAAATGAAATATATAAAGAATGAATATATAACAGGAATGCAGCAGAATTAATCGATGTCGTGATCTACACTACAATGTACAAGTTCTTAAGAACATGAAAACAAAATAATACAGAAGTGATAGTTTCCTGAAAAAACGAAAACAATTTAGTGTTTAAGAGTAAAGGTCATGTTTTCGTTTTCGGATCTTCTAAAGTGACCAAATACTCTTTGAAACTGTCATACTGCTTGAAAAAATTAAGCAGTAAAAGGTGCATGATACTAATAGATGACCCTTAAAATGCTTGATAATAAATAAAATGGTCAAACTGAGCTGTTACAGTATGCATCTATTACAAAACAAGTTGTATAAAACCCAACCAACTATACTGCCGTTATGCGTTTTGCTTAACAGAATGCCAATCGTTAGCTGCGCAAAAATAGGAGATAGGATCGATCGACCAAAATGAGCGGGCACAAAATATGCTAACTGAAATCATAAGCCAAACTAAGTGTGGTGATTACGAAGTCTGTGTGTAGTTCAGTATTCATATTGGTAAATTATAATACCTTTAGTTACTAATCGCAAACACTTATATAAAACTAGAGGTGAAGAAAATAACATTCAATAAAATTGATAAAACCCGATGTCTACAAAATGACGAGAGACGTGGACAGATTTAGCGATACTTTTCATAGCTACATCTTCCTCATTGAGTCATAAACCATTAGTTAGGACAAAATGTTTATGGAAAGTCATCAAAAAATTAGGTTTTTCAATTAAAGCAGTAACTGGATGTTATTAAAAAGATTTCACTGAAAAACTGAAGCTTAAATTTTATAATTTAGTTAAGAAGTGGTAAAGGTTTTAGAAACTGCTTATCTATACAATGTGTCAAAATTGATACTGATAAGATTAGACTTGTACAATAAATCAACAAATTCAACTAAGAATTTAATTATTTATGTCGTTAGGAAAGATGAATGGTAGCATAAGATAATAAAAAATGAATCTAAGTGATCGTGTTTCGTAAATTTACAGATCAGGAGATTTCTATAAGTTAACCAGAGCACATTTCCGATATATTTGCTTATAAATAATATTTCACAACCTGCTTAACCAATCACAAATATTAGGCATGCGTCATACGTTTTGTTAAACTAGATTAGGCTATGATAGCCTCGAATGAGCGGAACGATCAATGATGTTCGAATAAGGAATCGAATAAAAAAATGGACAATCATTTCTACAAAACCAATCTAATTAAAATTTGCAATCATTTACTTAGAAGCAACAAATCTACTGACGATCTAATGGAGTAATTTAAAAAATAACCATCTTACACTCACAGGATTACGAGTAAATAATAATGACTCTTGATCGGCATTAACATCAACATAATTATCTACTACTTTATCAATTCTTTGATTAAAAGCTTTACTACGTTCTTTGATGAAAGTAGCAGAATTTCGTTCATGACTATCTATGGTAGGATTTTCGTCAATTAAATCGTCTTCTTCATCACCCGATAATAAGGCATCTCCACTGGTTGGATTACGTTCTAAACGCCAACGAGATCTATTACCCCTTTGGATGGTATCATCAGGAAGAATGCTGCCAGGAACGTGTTGATTTTCTATACAGTCATTCGTCATATTCATCCATGAATATGAATTAATCTTGTTATTTCCAGGAACAGGTCGTGTTCCTAAACGATCCAGTATACTCTGTAACAAAAGTTTAAAAATAAGAAAATCATTAAAAAGCATTTATTGTAAACGCTTCAACTACAAATTAGCTTTCTGTTAAAACACGGTAAACAAACGATCAATCAATAGGCTAATCTGAAATTTACCAATAAAATATCCTAAATTACATCAAAATGATAAACAGATAATATAATGAGTGTTGAAGCAATATTATCTGACCAGGAAATGAAGTTATCTGATTCATTTACTAGGTACAGATTGGTGCACATGGCTTTGGGCCAGTGATACCAACCGGATGCTTAAGCCGGAGTATATGGAGCGAGGTTTCAAACTGCAACTGAGTAGAATGGATCAATCATTGAACCATAGCTCTATAGTGAGTGAAGTTACATTAGTAAATCATATTCCATTGTTAGCGAGACATAGACTGGATTAAATCATGCTCAATGCACGATTGCTTTGGTGCACGCTGATTGGATAAGAATTAGCTAATCAGTGTTAGCCAACACTTAGTGAACACTAGAAATCTCATGTGAAAAACTATAAATATACTAACGTTTTCCCTATTGTGCTTCTTACTTCCATCTAACCTTGTTATTTGGAATATAATCTCTTTCCTGTCCAAACGTGTTCTGATTTGGGGACTTTTCGATTGGATTGGTGTCCGAGAATACTAAGCAATAGGAATAGTTGGGTTATAACCGTAAGAGAGAATTATAACATCCATAAAAAGAGATCAAAATAATTAGGTTTATGAAAGTTACATGTATCTTTTAGGATTCTGAATAATAAACACATTTCTAATTATTTAAACTTATTCGATAATTTGAATAATTGTCTTCTGAAAAATTCACTTCTAAACGTTGTTTTATAAGTTAAACTACCTACACAGTCGGTTAATCAAATGCGACATAGAATTTGGCACATGTGTACATCGGTCCAAGTTTCCCAATTCTATTAGGACAGAGTCATGAATCTGTCTGGGCAAATCGCAGAGTTGCAGAGGTAGTAACAGCATTAACGATAGTATAAAAGTTTAAGGATCCAAGGTGCGATTCGAAAAGGAAATATAAATTAGTGAAATAATGATTTTGGGAAGTGTATCCGGAATTTATAAACTTAGGATCTAAAGAGATACAAAGAGTGAATGTAATTGCACAACTATAAACGATTTTGAGCAATGTTACTCACAATCCCTAATCATTGGTTACGATGACCAAGGAGACTCCAATCAAGTAGTTTGCATTTGCCTAAATATATCAGTCTAACAATGTCTTTATGGACTAACGTTAGTCCATAGGTTTGACCCCCTCTACCATTCTTTCAACCTATTCTAACATCAGCCATCAGCGCCCATTGAGGTAGTCAGTGGATGGTGTGTATATGTAGTACATGTTCCAACGCTCTCAGTCGATAAAGAATCACTACCTCGTCACCTGATTTGCCACGCTTACCTAGTACTTCGAGTCGAAATTCGGCATCACCAAGGAATTATATGAATCCATTATGCACTAGAATTCGCTAACAATGAATCACAAATAACCTAAATAACACTTTGACTACTTCCTAGGACAGGAAATGTCAAGGATGATACAGACGAAAATGACGGAAATAACGCTATAACTCAGCAAATAAGAATAAATATTAGATTTATGTGAGCACCAGATGGCACTGACTCAGTATGCAATACAACTGTTCTAACTAGTTTACTAAATGAAGGCTTACAACTTAAGTAATTGTTCGCGTATTATTTTAGTGATTAAAATATTTGAGATAGTTTAACGGTTAAGGTAACTAGCTTTAACCACTGATTCACAGGTTTAAAATCCAGTTAGTCTTCGTATTGACAAGTTAGTTAGTATTATTGCAAGTGTCTTAAAGTCGAACACATGAACTTATATGTGATTATTTAGGTAAAAAAATAAACGAAAAAAGATTCGTGAGCCATGCTTCAAATACATAAATAGTCGAATAACCACAAACTATGCATATACCCATATTCTTAGTAATCATGCTGTACACCAATAAAATGATAGAAAGCACACTGTCAAGCAGTATACTTGCCCACGACAATATAACAGTTAAAACAGCACATATAATCGAAGAATTTTGTTTTCAATTAGACTTTTATGAGGCTTGACTCTAACATACGACAATATTAATATACACATATGAAAAGCATCAAACCCATCAGTTTATGAGTCAATGATTATACGCATATAAGTCACACTGAATATCCACTGCAAGGAACCTATCAAGTGGAATAAATCTTCAACTTGTCTGACCTTGCACAAAATTCGGGTTTGTAAGCAAAAAAAAACCAAAAAGATTAGTAAAAATGAAAATTTTGTAAAAGTATCCGCAAACTGCATGAAAGCCTGTATTACCGTTGCTAAAACATGCACAATAATTCAAAAATTACACATCCTACTTTTAAAATTGTACAGTTAATTTAATACACTATAAAATCTAACCTTGGGACGAGGGAAACGACTAGTCATACTTCGAGCATTGTGTTTGAAGTTTTCTGGAAAACGAGTGTAAATTCGAATAAATCTATTTGAAAACATAGGAATGGGGCTTCGATAGGCTTTCTCAGCTTCATCTGATGAAGAAAACTCAACCACTGCGGACCCTACCATGCCCTTGTATCTAGCAATGACGTTTATTACATGACCAAATTGAGCAAAATGCTCACGAATTTTATCCGCATCATTAAGTTTCCAAGGAAGACGATCGATATACAGAGTAGTACGAGGATCAACAATTCGAGAAGTGATATCCAAAGAAAGATCTGTGACTCCTGATGTTTTTGGGACTACAGCATATGAACTGATTTGTTCAGTGATAGGACTGGGTTTATATGATAATGGTGGGGTAGAGGCATTATGTTCTACATCTGAAGTATCGCAAGACTGTAGAATATTAGACTCGGACGTCGAAATCATGGACAAATGTGGTCGATCTGGTTCATAGGCAGGTGGAGCTGAATTAATTTCGGTTTGATCTTTATTGTTAGCATTTTGAATCATTGGCAAAGGAACTATATTACGACTAATAGTGTTGACATTGTTAAATACGCGAAAATTATTAGAACGTTGTTGCATGTTATTCTGCAAACGGGGATGCTTCCAATTGGATTTACTATACAAAACAGAAGGGTTAGAAACCTGAGGAAGTATTCCAGTATCCGATGACTGATCAATGCAACAGGTCATTAACATTTGATTATCTGGATGATTAACTAAATAGAAAAGACAAATTAATGAGGACAAAAAACGGATAACGATGAACTTCCCCGAGCCAAATATGTGAAAGGTAAAATTAGGCACAAAATTTACAGTTATTAGTTAACTGGAATCATATACCGAAAAAATGTTGACATGGAAACATTTCTAACCGATCCAATCTTGGCAATCATTGGTTTCATCGGTAAAGCCAAAAACGAGAGTGGTACAACTCCTCATTGGGCAAGTGTTCTATTTTTCATATCTTCTTAACCACTGATACGGTAGAACGAAAGGTTTGCCTGATAACGTTCTTGATCTTTTCTGATAGATCAAAATAAACAGGTCTCTGTTACGACGGCACAATCGACTGTTAAAACGCTGGAATTATTGACGTGGTCGAATAAATAATTTGCCCACGTATACGATCATTAATTCCCAGTCGAAAAAATTCCAGAACCAGTTGTCAACTGACAGGACATCTATCAAGGAGTTCAAGCTGTCGTTAACATAAAATATCCAACCAATATAGTATGAACATGAGCTACTTTTCAGGTAATGATTAATTAATCAAGATTATAAAGCAATCAATGGGGGTTTATTATTATCCATAATATGAATCTATAAACAACAACGCAGAGAAACTGTTGTTAAAAATTATGAACTGTAATGTTATAATGTGTATATATGAACGTAAATATTATTCATATGTAGTTTTCCAGCAAGGTTATTACATATATTTTGTTAAAACTGGTGCTTTCTCGTTTACATATACTGCAATATAGGTACAATAAGCGACAGACACCCACACTACCGACATAAAGCCAAGGTCAATGACCTCCGAAGTTTACCTCTTAGAACAGAGTAAGACAATAATTAATCACTGCTAACAAGGAAACATGTGTAGAAGAAACCGATATACTTTATTTAATTTCAAAAACATTAGCCTTGAAACTGAAATGAAATAAATATGTATGTTATTTCAAGGATTTTATTATTATTGTCTCAATTATATAGTCACACTTGGAGCTATTCTGGCAACACTCATTGGTAGCTACAACGACTCACAGGATATTGCATTTTTCGACAATAATTAGGCTGTAATAGACTAATTAACTAACAAATAATTTGAACGTGCCACTTAAATAGCATACTGATGCTAAATTCTAAGTGTTACAAAACTCGATATTTATAATACTTATCGAAATAATAATGTAGCCAAGATGCTTGCAAGTCATTTGTTATGCTAATGCTTTATGTTCACTGATGTGAAATTTTCACACAAAATTTGCTACATGTACATCTAAAATGATTTTGTTATTTTTGCTAAATATTTACGCAGCAGTTGGATATAACTATTGAACCATTGGTTGCGTAAAGTGTATTTCGATAATCCGCACAAAATACATCTTTTTAATCGCATATAGCACTATTATTCCTGCTAACAGAATCTTATCAACTCCATAAAATTTAATTAGCACAATAATCAACATCAAAATTTTAACATCAATAAATGTATCTAGCATGACTAGATAAAATTCATTTTCCAATCCAAAAAGTTATCAGACAAAGACAAACTCGGGATACGTTTAGACTTTTGCAGATGTACATTTGATGCAGGAAAATAACTGAAAATTAAAGATACATTATGTCAAACCGAAACAGTGCAGCAAAGCCAAGATACACGACTGAAACCTTAAAATATTGGAAAACTAAGCTCTGGACTTAAAAAATGAGTGCATTATGGTATAGTTTATTAGTATATTTTATTAGTTCATGCCACTTTTGTACCAGAAATCTCAGTCAATATTTTTCGCAGGATAACATCGTTATGACGTCAGCTTTCTACTACATTGAAATGAGTGAGGATTATAAACTTATATGACTTATTACATTATTTAACACAATACTGACGACGGACAATTAGTTCGTCTTGTTGCTATGATGGTTAGCAGTACATCTTATCTCATGTACGCAACGATAACATACGCCCTTTAATTTCAGATGAATAGGCTACGTGATACCTTAAATTATGCATCACGACCTATCTAAAGTAATACAATATAAAAACTAAAGAGCATGCAATGTTACAACCACTGAGTGATGTGACAATAAACCGAATTTTTAAAAACTAGTCCATTCTTTTCTTTAGATTCAAATCATGGCAATTAATATGCGACTACATTGAAAATAAATCTCAATTACATAAAATTAACATTTGTATCAGAAAATTTCCTATAACTATTTACTTTCTGTTAATATACACTTATTAAATTGCTTCGTTTTATGTAAATAGAGAAGAGCTTCACTACACTGATTCATTGGATAATTTACGTTAAGTGGATTACAAAAGACTGAATAACTTGCAAACAGGACGACTGTGTATCGTAACAGTATGATTGGAATAATAAAAAACTGGTTTGTCTTCATTTCAACCTAATAATCATACATATTCAAAAAGCAAGCACTAGTTTATTTTAATGCAAGAGTCTTTAACCTCTGGGAAAATTCTAAACTGATTGGTGGAAATAAGTTGATATTTTAACATGAATACATTCTGTATATGGAGTTGGAAATATGACTTTTACCACATTTTGGACACTTCCATTAGGTATACTGGTATTTCACTAACAAGTAAACCACTTTTATAACTATTTGGTAGCTTCAAAACTTTATTACGTCAGTGAAAAAAATCTAGTGGTAGATTTTAGGTCTTTGGTTAAACACCACAGTAAGCAATAAACATACGTACTTGGAGTCGGGTGATAAACAGGAATAAGAGGAGTACCAATATGTTGATTTAAATCGTTAAGTTCAGTAGGTCCAGATAGAACAGCTGCTACAAAAGATTGAGGCTGAAGTGTACTAGATTTTGATGCCTCTTTTCCAATATTCATTGGTAAATCCCCAGTACTATTTGAGAGTGGATTAGTATCTAACAGAGGGTTTGTGAGATGAGCGATGGCGGACACAGCAGATTTAGCAGACGAAATTACCAAAGCATTCGGGCCGTGGTCATACTGACATCTGTCTCCATATACACAAAAACCACGCTCTTCAAAATCACGACAGCGACGGTTCCTTACAGCTCGACACTTTTCATCAACTACTCTGTAATCGGTGACAGACTTCGCAAAAGATTTACACGAACGATTGCTATGCTCATCTTTGTGCCGTGAGTGGATACGTTCACGACTGTTATACTTATGTGATTCTGAATCATTATACTTATTCCGACGCGATGAAATTGTATTTGAATGGGTTACTTCTTCATTTGAACTACCTAAAACAAAAATAGAATTTACAACTTTAAATAAATAGCTGCCTAAATAAATGAATGGTTGCACTGACAACAGTTGATGCTAATAGACGTAGTCAAAAAAAGTTAACTACAAACCTGATGAATTGCGTCTGATATGACCATCCACTGTTTTTAAGCTGGGTTCTTCTGAGTGGTTATTATGACGTCCACGACTGCAGGAATCTACATGTGGTTCAAGTTCTTTCACATGTTGCCTGCTAGTTGTACTTGCATTATTTATTGGTTTTCCTGGGGAATGGGGACTGCGTGAACGACTATCTGACGAAATTCTTTTTGCTTTATTCTCCGGTGAGCGTTTTCGTTTCTGCTTGGGAGCACAAGTGTCCGTGGCATTTGGAACGTTAGTGTTATTGTTTGTCAAATGTCTTTTCCTGTCTTTTGGTACATTATCAAAAGTATTTCCACAAGGGTTTTTTACAGAAGAATCCTTTGGGTAAGAGTTGTCCGAAGACTGAGTTTGTTTTAATGTTTCACACGCAACATATGTTCTTGATTTAAGTACAGCAAACAAATCCTCTACGAACTTTGCTGTATTTTCTTGCAAGAATACTTCCAATTGGTCAATACATATTTCTCTTAGTTCCTGCTCGCCTTTGTCCTTTTTTATCAGGGCTATTACATACTGAGAAAGTGGAATCGGATCAGCAACACATCTAAAATGTGCACAAGTTGCAGGAATAGTTTTAAAAACGAAAGTTCAAAAATATTTAGAAACAATTTATCGAAGAAATGTGTTAACCAGTGAAAAAACTTAGAAATCTCTACTTAATCCATCATAGATCTAAATAAAAATTACTTCTGTTCAATGACGTAGTACAGCTTTTTTATTTTTTGAAATACTCAAATTATCTGAAAATAATATGTGAGCTGAAGTTTATATAGTTATTAATCCTGGTTTTAATAAAATAGTATACGGATATAGTTATTTCAGTAGGCATGGTATCAAGCAATTAACTTCAAGTATTGACTTATCAATGAAACCAGTCTCTTGGACGATCTAAAAAGTGCATTTAGCTAGTTCAGATTCAATATCAAAAACACAGAACTTACGAATTTTTTTTAACTGCCAGCAAGACGGTAGTGGTGGACCGTATCGATGTCACTATTACTCTATGATGGGATGCACCGAAAGTTTCTGTCCATTTGAAATATGTTTATGTTAACAGCACTACTGCTCTCAACAAACTTACATTGAATGGGGTAATGATTCTTTATCAACTCACGCGTGTGAAACGATAAGAACAAGTCAAAAAGTTCGTGACTTCTTTTGTTGCTTACTAGCAGCACGGACGATTTTAACTGAAGCCCATTAGGGTTACAACCTGTTCCCATTACCAAAAAATGTCATTTTCCTTTAAATACTACATATCTACATTTCCTAATTATCTCAAGTAGACAGATATCCTGATGAGTCTTCGCTTGGACCTCATGATATACTGCTCATCTACCAGTAGCATCGGATTTATTGCTTTTGAAATGTTCCGCACCGTAATTTACATGGATGAATTTCCTGGAACACTACTAACCTTAAAATCGAGTTCCGCTTTGTCATGAGGTCGAACACTTGCCTTATTGATATACAATACTGTATTGATGTCTAAATCATAACCCATGAGTTGTATGGTTCTAACATGGTACATGTGAAAGGAGTATTTTCTGACAGGATGTAAAACACAGAGCTTTGGGGAAGACATAATGTTAAATCTAGCCATCACCTCAAAAGTGCCTAACACCACAGAAGGAGGGGTGGAGTCACCAGCCGACAGACGTTGGATGTGACTCCTGCTGGAGCTCCTTCAGAGTTAGTGCTGGTCCAAAGGCCAGAGAGAGCTGGATATAGGGATGGTCACACCACTGCTGTAAATAAGGCGATACAAAAGCCCTAGCCAGAACAAAATACTTACACCATTTTAACTTTGTTCAGAGAGCTAAAGGGTCTTCATATAAAAACTTTATGACACTTCATGATGAAAACTGAGATTATTTGGAAGCCACCAGACCAAAACCCCTTCTAAAAACCAGAGCGACAATTAATGTCAGTGTGTGGAATTTTCGAACAATGAACAAGACAGGGAGGGTCACTCGAATAGCAACACAGATGAAAATGTTCTAACTGACCGTGCTTGGAACAGGTAAAACTCATTGAACACAATCTGTGCCAAATAAACCAACTTTAGGAGCTCTTACTTTAATCTGGTTACGAGGAACAAAGTGCCCCCAGCACGTAGAGTTGCAATGATTCTGTCTAAAGAAGTACGAAAAGCACTTATGGAATGCGGAACTTGTGGTTCTGAAATCATCAACGCATACTTTAGAAGCAAGAAGGTGAAGATTACGACAAATGACACCCAGCGTTTCCCATTCATAAGTGATAGCAGTGAAGACAATGAACACCAGTTTTATGAGCCTGGAGTCTACTGTAAATAGATGGCCAAGGAAATAATTAACCTGATGAATTACCTAAACGTTGAGGTTAGATGGACAAAACTTGGTATGAAGGCATTATGGTGTATGAACTGTGGAGAAAAGAAACAACAATAGCAAGAGACCGGTAGATCTGTGTGGTTTCACAAACGTGGTCGTGAACTGCAATATTTTCCCCTATAAACACATCCACAAAACAACATGAACCTCACCAGATGACACTACGGAAAACTAGACCGAACACATCTGGATGTTTAGAAAATTCAGAAGTTTCATAGAAGACGTATGAACAAAGATGATATAACCTTATATCAACACTTGGTGGTGGCCAAGATGAAGTTATACCGAAATTAGCACCAAACAACTAGACAAACCGCATTGTGAAGATTTAATACAGCCTTGTTTTTATATGTTAACAAGCTCGGCGAATTCAAAACAACCCGCAGCAGCAATTTTTAAAACCCACAGAATCTACTAGAGGAAGAGGAGATTATTATGGGGGAAAACTGTAAAACATTAAATAAGCGATACATTCAACATGCTGGAGGTATTGAGTCCAAAAAAGCACTAGCACAATAGACCCCTGTGGACAGCTTGAGCGAAATTCGAGAACGGAAAAACAAGAAAGTATTCAGTAATAGCCGGACGAAAACAGAAGCCCAGCCACAAACTGAATATACAGAGGCATAGAAGCTGATAAGTGGAAGACCTGGAATTATCAGTAGACAAAGCTGCACGAGAAGCTTGAAGAGAAAATATGGTAAACAGAGGCGACCAGTTATGAACAAAAGCTCAGTCGAACAGCACACAGGCGACTGTTAACGGAGATCCATTCTAATAGTGCTTGTTCTGCCCTCGCACTTAGTGCTATACTTGCATCCACTAGTCCACGAGAACTTGACTTCAGGTCGCCAGATAAACGGAGGGTGAATTTCGTCGGCTCTCCATTTTGGCGAGGTAAGGTTAGGTGAATGACAGGTCTCAGTCACTGATTGTGCCAGTTTTTAAGAAAGGACAAAAGGTCCTCTTCTGACAATCACAGAAGAATCAGTTTGACTAATATAGTGTCTAAAATATTAGCTTCAATAATACTTCGACGCCTAACCAAAGCTCGTGAAGAGCAGACTAGAGAAAACCAGGCTGGCTTTCGACCTCGACGTGGTTGTATAGACCAGATATTCACACTACGTCAGGTCCCAGAACATAGACACAAATTCAGACGCCCCACAATCGTAGTATTTCTCGACCTTAAGGTGGCATTTGACTCTGTTGATCGCGAGGTTCTATGGCATTGTTTGTCATTGGAAGGAGTACCGAAGAACTACATTAACCTTGTAAAGGTTGTCTACTCAAACTCAACTGGCCGAGTGAGAGTTGACTACCTCAAGTGGTGTTCGTCAGGGCTATTCACTCTCTTCATTCTTGCTTAACTTTGTCGTTGACGTGATTTTAGAGATAACACTTCCCTCATCCAAATTTTCAGGGGTTGAACTTCTACCAGGAGATTCACTTGTTGACTTGGAATATGCCGATGACATAGTTCTATTTGGTGAAGACGCTGACAAAATTCAGAGTCTTCTGACCACTCCAAGCAACAATGCAAGCATGTTCGGAATGGGATTCTCCCCCTCAAAATGCAAAATGTTGCTTCAGGATTGGGTTGCATCGACACCTGATCTAATGATAGGGAGTGAAGTAGTTGGGCGTGTCGACCGATTCACTTATCTTGGAAGTCTCATCAGCCCTCGTGGTCTGGTGTTTGACGAAATCTCAGCACGGATACAGAAGGTTCGACTAACTTTTGCCAACTTGCGTCATTTATGGCGTAGGCAAGATATCCGTCTATCAACCAAAGGATGGTTTGTTGCACAGCAGTTCGTTCCGTCCTATTTTATGGCAGTGAACCATGGCCGGTAAGAGTAGAGGATATTCGTACGTTACTAGTATTTGTTCATAGGTGTCTTTGAAACATTGCTCGTATATCCTGGGTCTACCGAGTAAGTAATGTAGTTGTTAGGAAACGGGTACTAGGTAAGGATGGCAAACCAGTTGATGAGGTAGTGAGACTTCATCAGTTGAGATGGCTGAGACACGCGTTACGTTATTGACAAGTGGACTGAGTCATGTTGGTAAGTGTGGACTAGCTGGTTGGGATCCGCGAGATGATAACAACCGATGGTTGGAGACCTGAATGACATGGCTCAAAACCGTTTGCGATGGTGCAGGTGCATCCATTTTTTGTTCTCACAAATTATAATCTTCTGAATTCTTCATGTCCCTTTTTACTTCTTGACAAATGTTTCACTGGATTATAATCTTTGCATAACATCTTCAAACCCTAATCTTCACGATTACTGCTTATTCTTTTATTACGCCTACCACTATTGGATTTGAATCGACAATTGTACCTCTGTGCCAATGTGGTGTGGCAACTCGAACTGATGTACGTACGTACGGAGTTCTACATTGTTACGGACTGACAGACGGAAATCCGTGAGATAAGGCGATAGAGCAACTGACGAACCCATTCCACTTGAAGAAAAGCTTGTCTATGTTAGTCATTTTGCTAACTGTTGACGGGACTATGTAGCTCTAAACATCTCAGGGTAAGTACGAAATACAATAGATGCTTTGGAAAGAGATGGATGATTTGAAATTGGTATGACTTTGCGTACTCAGACTGAGTTGACAATAAACAAGAACGATCTGATGCAGGTTGCAATGCATGAATTGACAAAGCAAGGGCAGTATTCGTGCAGCTGAAGAATAGCTGTAACTGTTCACAGACTGAGAGGGTTGTGACATATTTTACCCAAGTATAACTACTATGTATCTCGATCTAGACTAGCGTAGGAGTGGGTTGGAAAAAAGCTACAGTCAAGGAAACTAAGAAGTTACATTAGTCCGTGAAGTTACTGACTGTTGGACTGAGAAGTGTAGATAAATAAAAATTACCTGACTGGGTAGATATGTTGAGTAACATGACTTGGAAGTGGCATCAATGGAGCAAGTGCAATTTCTTTCTTTGGATTCTGAGTTTTAAAATTGTTTTACATGTTTTATTTCGCGAATTCATTTCTCTATGCACTATCCTTTTCACTACCATCAATAGGACAATTGCCTCTGCTGCGATGGTCGTTAAAGTGACAATCTTAGCTGTTTTGATGTGATGTGACAACTTGGGTTGATGCACATTAGTCGTTGATTATTATTGACTGTGCTAAGGCTATACATCCCCACCTAGATAATAACCCAGTTCAACTATTTACTGATAGACTGCATGCCAGAAAACTCTGTTACATTTTTAAGGACGTGTTACAAAACAAGTTTGCAGTGACTTTGCTGCTTCCAGTAATTTTAGTTGCATATCACTGTTCAATCTTTGTACAACAAACTATAAAAGTTAACTTAGGATGAGCCATTTTGTGATTTACTAACTGTCTAACACTATTCGCTTGACACTCATTGTGGCACAACATACAGGGACCTTCAACATGCTATTTGTATTCCCACACGGACAAATATGGGGAATGTGCTAGCAGTTAAAAAGCTGTTTATATTTGACTAATTTTCCCTAAAGATAGTAACAATATGACCTGTGAACATGGGATGTGAAGGAGACAAAACATCCATCTATATATACATTTAGCTTTAATTGTACAAATTAGTGAGGATGCATGTTGTTGTTTCATCGTTTTGTCGAGTTTGTACAGGAACATAATGCAGAATAACATGGAAAATATCGAAGTTGACAAATAAAATACGAGGTGCCAAGCAGAAATTACACAAAATCCGACAAAACTTTATGCAGGTGGTTTACGAGTGGCTAGAACATGATAGGAAAAGATATTAGTAAAGTAGCACCTAATACAAATACACCACTTCAAGTTTCCAGTTTTGCGAAATTGTAAAAACAGCATCAAGTCAGTTGTGCACTCAGCAAACATAAAGTGCTGTGACTAATAGGAAGAACAAAATTCGACCGGTAAGATAGAAAGTGACGCATCAACTAATCAAAAAATGACTGTTGAAGATACTAAGAGGACTCGTGTACTGTCATGAATACTCCAAAACAGACTTACCAGAGACATTTGAGAACCCATTCTGAGTGTCCGAATATTTCATTTCGCAACAAAGCTTAAGATGGCTACTTACGTGAATTCTGTTGTAGTAAACCTATAAGTAGTTAATCCACTCCATTTTTGGCAAAAGACCTCGAACTTTGTTTTCCAAACTACTCTTAAAAAAACTGACCAGTCAACACTCTCAGATGTTCAACCTGGAATTAGTGAGGTGAACTTTGACCCTGAGAAGTAATGGTAGGAAGCTGAGAGTATTATGGCATTCCTTAAAATGACGCCATACATAGCGCCATATAGTATCTCCCCAATAATACGTTCGTTAAGATCAAAATCAGTGCCGTATGATGTACGGCTTTGTATTACACGAAAGATTATTAGTGGAGAGGAGACTTACAGGGGTTTCAGCTTCCCGTGGAGCCATACCTCAAGCTGTTTATAGTCAACCTGCATTGCACTACAAGGCGCCAGAACCCCAGTATGGCAGTTGCGCAAATATTAACACGACAAAACAAAACAAAAGACGTTTATCAGTAGTTCGACGGAAATCCAAGACCCACTAAACCAACTCAGAGGGCCAAATGTATTTAAAAAACTGGAATAAACGCTATTAAAAACGGATAGTAATATTATAGTCGTTGTGGAAACTTCGTCGACCTTGACTGTTTTAACACATCACATAAGATTCGGATTTTTGTATTAAGTGCTAAAGGACAAGGGCCTGTGTTCTTCTGTTGAAAGTAAATCTATTTGCTTGTCTGGTCTTCTCTTGAATGAATCAATTAAATGTTCGGACAATTCTTCAGATAACAGGTTCGATGATGTAACAGATATCCAGGTTTTGACTGCGCTTTCGTCCTTTACACTTATTAGGCCAAGGGAAATCGACACAATCTAGTCATAATTCAGCGGTGAAGGAGCTTGAAGCTTTATTTGGAAATTTGCCGAATCTGGCCAGTAGTTGTAAGAGATGCGCAGCTCAACATAACTTTTTGTGCTGTGGTGCGGATGTATGACTGTTTCACCTAAGGTGTGTCCAGTAAGACCATTGAGGTCAGCATCACCGTCAACGGCTTACAGTACTGTTTATTTTGGGGACTTATTGGCAGCTACAACTCAGTCCCCCCCCTATTGTAATGTCATCACTCAAGGATATGAACAGCCAGCAGTTTAAACATAACGGGCTTTTCATAACTAGTTAGTTTGGCGATAGCTTCTTCTGTCCAGAGGCTTCTAGTGGTCTTTTTCTACACCACGGTACTATAGGTAATGAAATAATAAGAAAGGCGCAAGGATAAGTTTGGTTCATCTTACTCTTCTGTATTTCATCTATCCCAGTCATCCTTAAAAATAAAGTAAATGCGTTATTGCAAGTCGATGCACATTTGTGTTTACGTAGGCAAGCAAAACATGGGAAAAATCTTGGTACATATGCATACATGTACAACGCCACACAGTGCAAAAAGCTTCCCAAACTTTTTTATAGAAAATTAACGTACAGAGATACCTAAAATTCTTTGATTACTTTTTAAAAACATGAATGTTTAAACATATTTTTTTAAAACTTCGACCTCTTCGTTATCAACAACGTAAATCCAAAATGCAACCGAATAGCTGTAAAACACGACAGAAGAGGTAAAAAAGAAATAAGATTTCAAAATTGTCAACTTGCATCAGCCCTTTAAATGCTTTGGCAACCTCACGGTTTATTTGAAGTAAGGTATTTTAGGCGGGTTGTTGGATACCAGTGAGGTATAGAAGATTATGTTCTCCTAGTTAAGTTGTTTTCGACCATTCAGTTCTGTTAATTTTAGTTCCCTTTCTATCAGTGATATAATATTCTTCTTTAGGTTGAGGGACTCTGAAGAATACTTCGTGTCGATTTTTCTGGGGTTGCTATAATGAGTTGCTGCGTCCGTAAACCTGTCTAAAATCGTAAGATCAAATGGATACAAACATCAGTTGGTCATGTTCGAGTGAAAAACCAGTATAGCTGAACGAAGAACGTTTGTAAGCCTGTTCGTGTAGTAATTTGGATTCAAATTCGATGGAGAAGATGAGGGACGTGCGAATTCTCCCAGAAGTCAGACCGTCATACCGTAAACCAGTTTGTAGCAGAAGGTAAATCCCCAAAACCGATAGTTCTATAAGTCTTCGACATTCAATGCTGACCACCCTCGTGCGCATGTTTCTAAACCAACGACTGACTTATCGGTTGGCAGCGTATCCGACATAAGGCCTCGTGGCGTTGTTGGATAGTGGGGGTAACCCTGCTAGCCAACTTGGACAGTGGCAGGGATTGGACTGGTCACCCAATCTGTTGCAACTGATCAATCCTGAGTTGTATACTCGGGGCTCACTTTACCGCTCTTGCTACCCGTCGCGTGTGCTCAGGTATGGGAATTGCAGAAGTCATCGGACTTACGCAATCCAAGCGTATTGACGTTTGGTTTCGTAAAAATGAAACGTTGAGCTGCGAAATATCTGCCCTGTATCTAACAAAATCAGTAGCGTATCTACCAAGTCGAAGACATAATAAGAGGTGGTAGCAAATGCTGCAATGGGGCGACCAACAATCTCCCATGAAAGAGTGCTTGTGCTTATGTGTGTAAGGAAATGCTGGAGTGATAGCCATGGTGTAAATGGAATGCATATGTGTAAGAGACAGTCTGGTGTACCAAATACGTTTTCTTCGTGAGTGGTGAACGTCTACCCTCACAAGTGGGTAAATATGCCTATGTGTATGCTATAGGATGCATGGGGGGAAAACTCGTGTGCATGTAATGTATATTTGCTCACAGTTTATGTAAACCTGCATACCAAGTGTGTTAACAAGTATGCAAGTAGGCTAACATATACAGTAAATCCGCAAATTTCTTTACTTCTTTCGGTGCGATATCACTACTCATTCAAAGAGCCGTGTAACCGCAGTCCCCATTAAATCACATTCTTGCGATGGGTTTGTGAGACTCAACAAAACAGAATCTGTTCATAAAAGTCAGTTATCAACAACATAGAACTTCGTACGTGCTTACATCAGTTCGAGTTGCTACACCACATTAACACAGAGATGCAGTTGTCGATCCAAATCCCGTAGTGGTAGAGGCGGTAAGAGTGTAAGCAGTAATCAAAAAGACCAAGGTTTGAAGATGTCATTTAAAGAGTATAATCCAATGTAGTCAATTTGGAAAGAGACAAGGAGGATTAAGGAGATTAGAGTTTGGGAGAACACAAAGAGTGGATGCAGCTGCACCATCGCAAACGGTTTTGAGCCATGTCATTCAGGTCTCCAACCATCGGTTGTTATCATCACGCGGATCCCAACCAGCTAGTCCACACTTACCAACATGACTCAGTCCACTTGTCAATAACGTAACGCGTGTCTCAGCCATCTCAACTGATGAAGTCTCACTACCTCATCAACTGGTTTGCCATCCTTACCTAGTACCCGTTTCCTAACAACTACATTACTTACTCGGTAGACCCAGGATATACGAGCAATGTTTCAAAGACACCTATGAACAAATACTAGTAACGTACGAATATCCTCTACTCTTACCGGCCATGGTTCACTGCCATAAAATAGGACGGAACGAACTGCTGTGCAACAAACCATCCTTTGGTTGATAGACGGATATCTTGCCTACGCCATAAATGACGCAAGTTGGCAAAAGTTAGTCGAACCTTCTGTATCCGTGCTGAGATTTCGTCAAACACCAGACCACGAGGGCTGATGAGACTTCCAAGATAAGTGAATCGGTCGACACGCCCAACTACTTCACTCCCTATCATTAGATCAGGTGTCGATGCAACCCAATCCTGAAGCAACATTTTGCATTTTGAGGGGGAGAATCCCATTCCGAACATGCTTGCATTGTTGCTTGGAGTGGTCAGAAGACTCTGAATTTTGTCAGCGTCTTCACCAAATAGAACTATGTCATCGGCATATTCCAAGTCAACAAGTGAATCTCCTGGTAGAAGTTCAACCCCTGAAAATTTGGATGAGGGAAGTGTTATCTCTAAAATCACGTCAACGACAAAGTTAAGCAAGAATGAAGAGAGTGAATAGCCCTGACGAACACCACTTGAGGTAGTCAACTCTCACTCGGCCAGTTGAGTTTGAGTAGACAACCTTTACAAGGTTAATGTAGTTCTTCGGTACTCCTTCCAATGACAAACAATGCCATAGAACCTCGCGATCAACAGAGTCAAATGCCACCTTAAGGTCGAGAAATACTACGATTGTGGGGCGTCTGAATTTGTGTCTATGTTCTGGGACCTGACGTAGTGTGAATATCTGGTCTATACAACCACGTCGAGGTCGAAAGCCAGCCTGGTTTTCTCTAGTCTGCTCTTCACGAGCTTTGGTTAGGCGTCGAAGTATTATTGAAGCTAATATTTTAGACACTATATTAGTCAAACTGATTCTTCTGTGATTGTCAGAAGAGGACCTTTTGTCCTTTCTTAAAAACTGGCACAATCAGTGACTGAGACCTGTCATTCACCTAACCTTACCTCGCCAAAATGGAGAGCCGACGAAATTCACCCTCCGTTTATCTGGCGACCTGAAGTCAAGTTCTCGTGGACTAGTGGATGCAAGTATAGCACTAAGTGCGAGGGCAGAACAAGCACTATTAGAATGGATCTCCGTTAACAGTCGCCTGTGTGCTGTTCGACTGAGCTTTTGTTCATAACTGGTCGCCTCTGTTTACCATATTTTCTCTTCAAGCTTCTCGTGCAGCTTTGTCTACTGATAATTCCAGGTCTTCCACTTATCAGCTTCTATGCCTCTGTATATTCAGTTTGTGGCTGGGCTTCTGTTTTCGTCCGGCTATTACTGAATACTTTCTTGTTTTTCTGTTCTCGAATTTCGCTCAAGCTGTCCACAGGGGTCTATTGTGCTAGTGCTTTTTTGGACTCAATACCTCCAGCATGTTGAATGTATCGCTTATTTAATGTTTTACAGTTTTCCCCCATAATAATCTCCTCTTCCTCTAGTAGATTCTGTGGGTTTTAAAAATTGCTGCTGCGGGTTGTTTTGAATTCGCCGAGCTTGTTAACATATAAAAACAAGGCTGTATTAAATCTTCACAATGCGGTTTGTCTAGTTGTTTGGTGCTAATTTCGGTATAACTTCATCTTGGCCACCACCAAGTGTTGATATAAGGTTATATCATCTTTGTTCATACGTCTTCTATGAAACTTCTGAATTTTCTAAACATCCAGATGTGTTCGGTCTAGTTTTCCGTAGTGTCATCTGGTGAGGTTCATGTTGTTTTGTGGATGTGTTTATAGGGGAAAATATTGCAGTTCACGACCACGTTTGTGAAACCACACAGATCTACCGGTCTCTTGCTATTGTTGTTTCTTTTCTCCACAGTTCATACACCATAATGCCTTCATACCAAGTTTTGTCCATCTCAACCTCAACGTTTAGGTAATTCATCAGGTTAATTATTTCCTTGGCCATCTATTTACAGTA